CTGCTCTGGCGAGCTAAGAAAATGTTTATCTCCCTGAGCCTGGCCTTCATAATTCCATTCCGTCACAATCCTAGAAATATTACTTTGATTTCTTCTGTCCAGCCCTGATCCCCCCTACTCACTATGGTGGGAAGATCCAAGTATTCACACCCACAAACACGGGAAAGAAAGACATTTTAAAGGGAAGCCGACCACAGCTCGTGAAATGAAATACAGTCAAAAGAATTCATCGACCCCCAAACTGGGAAACGATCAGCTCTTTGACGTGGTTTGTCAATGCAGCCCGTTGTTTGAGGGTGAGAGTATTAATATCCCCCTACAAAATGAAAATATTTCCGTATACCTGTTGGATATATTCACCAGCAAAGCAGCCTCGTCAGCCCACTGATGAAAATTAAAACAAAAAGAAAAGAAAACACCACTCCTGAAGCATGCATGTTTTTAGTTAATAATAAACCATACATTACAAGACAGAGAAATTCATATTCTGGGCCAGATGATTATAAATGTTGATAATTTCAGCACTGTGGCATGAAAAGAACTAGGGTTTTTCCCTGGCCAAAAAGAAACAAAGAAAAGAAAAGCTGCTATTTTATTTGCTAACCAACTATCTTCCCTGATATTTCCATTTATTACATTTTTATCCTCCCCTTGCCCCAAAGTTTTCACTGTCAGTTTGTTTTAGCGTTAGTCTTGAGCTATGTTTTTAAACTGTTTTTATAAACACGCACGCACACACACATATTTTTAAGCATCAAAATAAATATAAATATGGAAATGTAAAATATTTATGCAGTATAAACAGAAATGTATTAATTTTATTTAATTATGTATAAATAAATATTTATGTACTGTATAATGAAATATTTAATTATAAATATCTTTTTGGGTGTTTTAAATACTGTTGTCTCCTTCAAGTATTTGATTGAATAGGCAACAAATCCAGTCCAATCCAATCAATAAAGGTTCTTGTCTCTTCTCCCCATTTTTTAAAAAATCTTCATATAATAAGGTTCTAGTCTCCCCTCAGCCACAGATGCTGGGGACTTTGGGCCAACCTAACCTACCTCACAGGGTTGTTGCTGTGGAGAAAAAGAGGAGGGGGAACTCAATTCATGCTACCTGCACCTCATGAATGAAAGGTAGGATATAAATCTCATAAATAAATAAAATCAGTGGCCAAACTGAAAGGGAAAGGTTAGTAAAATGTGGTTTCTGTACTGTGTGAATCCAGCTTTTGTGGCCAGTTTTAGTTCAGCTAACCACAGTCAGTGGGTTATCATCATATCAATAGCGAGCTTGAATTTGAAACTTGATATAAACCTGATATTCCACCCATAAAAATTAAAGTTTTTCTCATGTAGTCCCTATAACCCCATGTCCATATTGTTTTCTTGGGAACCATACAGAAGTAGTTTGGGGGGGGGGGAATCCTTTTTCAACTTCCCGATCTAGTTTGTAGTCTTCCTGGTGGCCTCCCATCCAGATTCAATCTGCTTTGGTTTTTGGAGATCAACCAAAGTTGACTAGATGCTGCCATCTGCTGGTCCTTTCTACCCACCACACCGCAGCAACTGTGAGCCATGCCGACTGGAAAACCACATCAGTCTAGTGCAGATCTACATGTCAGAGGAAAGTCAGTTTTAGAAAACAGGGTGGAGCAAACCCCTCCCTTACCTGTATTTCCCTT